AGGTGGAAATTACCCAGCCATTACATTCAGTGGCAGACTGAAGCCCCCCAAAAATGTCTGAAGGAACGGAGCCGAAGGTCGATTCTCCCAGCTGCTGTCAGACTGGAGAATCAGAAACAGTATAACTACGCTGGTCAAATGTGCAATATCTACATTCACATGTGTAGCATCGTTTATCTGTTTAATTCAGGTACCACAGTTTAAATCATAATGTGTAAAAATGTTTTGTCATTATTCGCAGTCTGTTTTTCTGTCAATTTATTTAGTTTTTATCTCGGCTGTGATAAGTATGTAGCAAACTTTTCACGAGATCGGATTAAAAAAAATTGCGATGTACTGAGGGAGTGAAAGGAGAAACCGCGATATAGAGAGGAACACTGTACTTTTACCTTGTATTGCACCAAATATTGCTGCTGCTAACACTAGTTCCACATAATGGAACGAATAAAGGACTTCTTAATCTTAACCCTAATCCTAATTAATTCAGGACCTGGAATAAAATAAAAACCAGACATCTGGATGAATGAGTCCTGTGAATATGAAAACGTTCTACTATGGGTGGTGCAGGTTTAGGGTCCAAGAGAAGGATGTTTAGAGAGCCCCCTGTCTGCCAGCAAATGATGTACAGTATATGGGCTTTATCTGTCTCAGCATTTTAATTGCACTTTAGGACAGATGTCCCCAATCTATTAGGAGCCACAGAATGGTGTTATGAATCAAAATATTTTTAAGCTCTTAGAGATAATGCCTACATACATATAAAAGTGTATTATTATTATACTGTAGATACTCTGGTTCTAGCCTAGTCTTCTGCCTCTGTTGTCAGTTACCACTCTACAAAGATTATATTGGAGTTTTTCTATAAGTGGACACTGAAGATGTTCTCACCATCATTCTCCCTCCCCCCCCCCCCCCCCCTTTTTTTTTTACTTAAAAAGAAAAAATGTAAGTAGGCCATGTTTACATCAGTGCTGCTCAAATCTGACCTCTGTGGCTTTTGTTCCTATAATCTATTCTGGGACAATATAAAAATCACACACCTACATAAAGTGACAGTCTTGTTCAAACTACTCTCATGAAAGTTGACAGCAACAACAAAACAAAAAAACCAAAAACATGCTGCATTCCTCCAGCTTGTTATTAAAGCTGCCAGGTTTCAGTCTATCATCCCCTGGTTTGGACACGAACAGATGTTTCCAGCCAAATATCAGACAGGCCACTGATTCTATCTCCTGTTTTTTCACTGTCCGTTAGACACAACATTTGAGCTCAGACTTTTTTTCTCCAAACTAAATGAAGAATGCATTGCAGTATATCTAATACATTTATGAATATAGATTTTTTCACCATCTGATATTTTGTTTACATGTAAATATGCCAGTCAAGAAGCTAACGGCAAAGATAACGGCTAAACACATTCTCAGAAACTAAATATAGACTTCAGTTGACTGGACTGCAGTGGGTTTTAACTTTAGAACTCAGAAGAAAAATGTCTGTTTTTGGGTGTTACAGTATACAAGGAAACATAAGAGCAAAGAGTGAAATTAACCAAAGGCCCAGAAGATACAGTTCACACCGTCACATGCACCAACTGCTGTTTTCACCGTGTAAGGTACTGTACGTTGCTCTAATTCAAAAAGCAACGTGAGGTTGACGCCACAGGGAATTCAATGTTAAAAATCAAAGGAAAAATTTAAACAAACTTGCAAACAAACGCAGTTCTTCACTCCTGCTGACTCCCACAGCTTCACCATCAAAGTGGCCGACTGTTTCTGTTTCGTGGTCCACTTACACCGAGTGGCTGCGTCTGATTGGATCAGCCTGGTGTGACTTAAAACAAGGGAACAGAGAGAGCGTGTTAAACCCCAACAACAAGGAATTCTCCACCGCTCCGTTCTCCTCACACTGGTCTGTAGTCAACACTCAGTGCTGTCCAGCTGGGACGGGTCGACGGGGAGTTTGTTTCCTCTGACGCAGCTTCACAGACAGCAGCATGAGGGAGCTATTCTGAGGATGATGTGGGGCAGTTCATGTGAACCACACACACACTAACAGTGATGTTTTTTTTAAAATTTTTTCACTACAATAAATTCATGTTTTTAAAATTATTATTATTAATGCACCTGTGTCCTTTGTTTTTACTTCAGTGAAAATTGTTACTAAAAGCATTGATCAGTCAAAACTTTGTGATCTTCAGGTTAAAACAACCCATTTTATGTTTGAAAAAAAAAAAAAAAAAAAAACAAACAAAAAAAACAATCCAACCCTGCCTTCCATTCTGATGTGGGGTTTTGACCTGCAAAAACAGTCACACAAACCTGACTCATTTCACATGTCCTCTGCTCTGCATGTGTGGAAGATGTTCAGTAGCTGCCTTAGTTTGACTCTTAGGGTTAAAAATGCCAAAGTTTTATTGGGTTTGTAAGGTGTTGGAAATGTGCTCTGAATCAAAGTGACGTGTGCAGTCGATGTCAGCCCGAGGCTTCAGCGGTGCTCTTTCACACGTACCAGGCCTTCCTGTGTGAACTGGGTGAAAGCGCTCTGTGGGCTGCCTGTCAGGTGTCCCATGGTGCTTGGAGAAGGCCTGTGGTCGTTTTAATTCCCAGCCAATCTTCTGTCCATCACTTCATTTTAGCCCTGCTTCAGAGCGCAGCTCAGGTCCACACACTGGCACTTTTCTGACATATCTTGCAGCCTATACCTTAAAAAAAAATATCAGGAAATGTTGTCAGCTTCTCCACACTTTCACCCTGTTTCAATACAAACAAATATTATTATGAAGCTTCCCAGCTGTTTAACAGTATCACCTCATTGTGTTTAGTAAAAAGAAAAAAAAACTGTAGGTCATGACAGCAACATCAGTGACTCAAATACCCTTTTCTCAAACATTTCTATTAACCAGTGGTGTAGTCAACACCACGAAGGAAGCTTTCTTCAAACCAGCCACAACAACTCCACTTGTTGTGGCTTCTTTGTGTATTAAAGACCAGGTCACCAGAGACAGACGTCTTTGAGCAGGGCTGTCAAACTCATTTTCACACACAGTTCCCCTTAAAGGGCCGGCTGTAAACGGAAGACTGTATAGATACAACGCCTCACTAATGTATTAGTACATGTTTCTGCAATTGATTATTATTTTAGTAACGAATATAGTTCATGGCTGTGTTAAAAAAAACACCCAAAAAACCCTTTATTTTCAATTTTTTTATTTATATTAGATTAAGATATTCTGCTGCATTGACTATAGTAAATACTTTTTAAGCTCCTGTGGGCCATACAAAATGACCTAGTGGGCCGCATTTGGCCCCCGAGCCTTGAGTTTGACACAAGTGACTTGGAGTCATTGTTACTTTTTAGATTGGACTCAAGAGGCAGTTGGAATCCAAGTGCAGCACCAGAGAGACAATTCTCAGTTTCAGTAAGTTAACTCAAAGTTCAAAACTCAAAAAGAGCCACTTACAGGATTCAAGGACCAGGTTGGACCTGGACCTGGACCACAGAGGAGCAGAACGCTTAACAGGAACACAAAGAGCAACATGACATTACAACAACCACTGAACTGACTAAGACTGAGTGAAGGAGGGAGGTATATATACCCTGGCCGCCAGGTGACAGGAGTGAGACTAATCAGTGGGGACCACAGGACACAGGTGAGTGTGATGTCACTGATTAACTCAGACACAAGCAGGAGAGAAGGGAGACAGAGCTCACAGTTTCCATGGCTGTGAGAAACTGACTCGCAAATGACTCTTAAATCAAAACTGCCCCCTATTGGATGTGTCATTTAAGAAGCATGCTAAATATAAGTAACACATGAAAGTATATAGACTGTCAAGTGTAAAAAATGTCTATTTTCATAGGAAACATAAAGGAGCCTGTGTTACTGGTTAGCTTTTTCTCTCTCTTTTTTTTTTTTAATCATCAGTGACATTTACTTTCCTGAGCCCTTAATAACTAACAGTAATCTGTCCAGTCCACCAGGGTGGAGTTCCTAAATAATACCGTTCAGCCACTACGTACAGTTTTATTAACCAAAATGAACTGGAGCTTTAATGGCAACCCAAGTGAAGAAGGAAGCCACATTTCCCGCACGTGCAGTAATCTCTCAGCACACTTATCTTGGAAGCCAGACCAGTGCTGGTTCACGAGGGTCTGTGAATCTCTCCCCGCTGACCTCATTTACATTCAAACGCCAGGTTTCTGCAGCAGTGAATAAACCAGGAAGGTCCTGACTGAGAAGTTTCACAATAAAGAAATAAATAAATGAAGACGACAGGAAAACTGCCATTAGTAGTAGTAGTGTTAATAATGATGTATTTAATCAGTAGTGTACTGCCCACTGCGGCCCGGCATCGTTGCCCGGACCGGACACCTGCTTTATACTATGTATTGTTTTTTTTACATAATATTAATGAGTGCTGTAGCCATAATGAAGTTATACGAATGTGGATTTGTTCAGACAGGATGTCACTGAAGGACTAGGTGAAAAATACATCCACTGTATTCAATTATACAAAATGCAAACAGAAATAACACAAATGTACCTCTGCTTAATGATGACACTGTCAGGATTTCACGGTGACGTCCATCTTACTTTTTGGGATGCATCATCTGCTCTGAACAAGGCCCTGGATAACTATGCTAGCGTCGGTTTGCTGCACTCTCCTAGCCTAAAGCTCGTCTACATTTGTGTCATTCAGAGCCAGACTGTATTTACTTAAATCTCCAAACCACAAAAGTTTAATTTAGTTTCGACCACGTTCCTCATATTTGCCGAAGACTGGCTTTAACTTCAGGTTTTAATTTAATTTTTTTTTTTTACAAACAAGGCATAGCAAAATCTATGTATTTACTGAGTTATTCTGTTATCACTTCAATTACTGCCACCCAGTGTGCACTGTTTTCAGGAGTTATTAAAAAATGTTCGATGAGATTTCAACATGAAACTTTTTATTAAACTTCCATCATCTCACAGAGATGTTATATCAATACATGGCTATCACATTAGCAGAGCAATAAATTGCGATTGTAGCTGAAGACGGAGGGTTCATGATTAAAATAAAATCTTTCAAGTTCAAGTTTTATTTGAGATCATTTTAGCGTTACTGTGGGAATACTAATAATAATTATAATTAAAAACTAGATTAAATTTGCAGTGAATGTAGAGTTATAAATTGTAATTTTTGCATACAGGAAAAACAAACAAACAAACAAAAAAATGATATCCTTAAAATTAAACTACATCATATAATAGAACATACATTTGTATAGTAACAGTACGCCATTCTGACACCAAACGAAAACATTTACACACAGGATGTCAGAGATCCTGAACACAGGCAGATGGAAATGTGTTGCCATCATGGGTTAGTGACAGTCTGTCAGGACGGTTACCATGATTCAGTTAGACTGTGCAACTCAAACCTGAGGTCTGAGGGAAGAGAAGAGATCGAGGAATAATAATCCATATTCACTTCAACATCCATATCAGAATAAAAAGCCTTAAAGAGCTGCAAAACCAACAGAGAAGAACAACGTAGCACAGCAGCAGATCTTCACGAAGAAGAGACTCAGGCGACCACTGGAGTTAAGACCTGGAACGAGAAAGAAACAGGGGGTTAGAAAAAAAAAACTGTCCACTTTTTAAAGTCCATATCTAGAAACTTCCAAGGATTTAATTCCATCATCTTCTGCCCCTGATCCTCTGACATTTCCCCTGGGCCACAGAGGTTGGGTGTTGACTTTTGGACTGTGTGAGGAAGTAACCTGTAAACCACCGACACTGCGTAAACCGCTCTGTCACAACCTAAATATATTTATATATTTATCATTGATTCTTTTTATTTTTCACTTGTATTTTTGTTCAGTTTTTATCCATTGTAAATTGAGTGAAACTGTTTTTTTTGCACTTGTGTTTTGTCAGTTTTTGGGAAAAGAGAAAACTTCCAGTGAGAGAAGAATTTCGTTTCCTTCTGCCGACTGTTTGGAACTTACTGTCCATCTTTGGTATGTGGATGGGACCGCTGCTGGTGCCGTCTCCTCCCCTGGACAGAGCTTTGATTTCAATAAGATAGCCTTCTGAGGGGACTTGAAGCTCCACGCTGGCCTTACTGGTTTCCAGTTCTGTAGTTGTGCCTTTCCAGGTCTGGCGGCACACAATCTGCCAACAGAGAGCAGCGCTACTGGTGAGAAGAGTCGACCAAAGATGTCTTGACAGATCTCTAGAACGCTTCAATCCACTACTGGTCAGGATTCCAGGATCGAACATAAAAAAACCACAAAATCTGTTACTAATTCAAATGCTCAACATGCCGTAAACAGGGATGATATCACCGCCCGTCATGCAGAAGAAGAATTGGATTGATAAGTGTTGGATCAGTGTCTGGACTCTGAGGAAAACAGGTTTTTCTATAATAAACTACAGCAGATACATTTAAACATTTCCAAGAACTCTTGTACATTATTTTTGTTTTGTTTCCAAACCAAATGTTCAAATATCATTACTTTTAAAATTAAAGTTCCCAATACGCAACATATTGTTTGAAGTATTCGTTTAGAGTTTTTTTGCCCAACGATACAAAATAACCACCTTCAACAATAAGGTGCCCATTAGCAGCTCTTCTTCACAGCGGTCTCCGTGAGCTGACATTTGTTTCATCACTTTAGTAGATATCTTTTGTTGAAAGCTCTTCCCGCTGCACTGAGGAAGCCATTTATAGGTAGCTGCCGAGGCAATAAGTTTCCCCGGGTTGTGGGTTTCTTTTATTACTCTGACAAACTCACCTTGTATCCTGTCACCTCCGACTCATTTTCCAACGCCTTGACATGTTCCCACTTTAGAAGGATCTTTGAGTTCGTCAGGTTCCATTCGATATTCTCTGGTGGCTGACTCGGAGCTGTGTGAAACATTGACACATCTTTCACACGTGGATGTCACACACACACCCCCACACACACACGCACGCCGCTGCCTTGTTCTCTATCCTCGGTCTGCATTCACACCTAATTACGTGGAATAAATGTGAATAAAATATACATTTTCAATGGAAATAAAAACGGCAGACAAGACATGAGGTGAAAATCAACTCATAACACAGGCGGTGATTAATCACTCAGTTATGCTTCAGAAATATGTCTAACGCAGTAGGGATGGATTAAACGTTCACCCTGGAGCAGCACGAACCTCTTAACTCCACGGTGACTCACAGAAGTCTTTTTCTAAAATGACTAAAACGACTGCCTTAGCAACGTGCACCTTAACCAGCGTGTGGAAATTGGTGGAAATGTGTGTAATTATGTAGACTATGATCAGCCAATCACAGTAAATGCATTTTTTTTTCATATGCTACCACCAGAAAAAATTTGGGCAAATAATAATTATCCATCCATCCATCCATCCATCCATTTTCATCCGCTTATCCGTTACCGGGTCGCGGGGGCAGCAGTCGCCACCCAAATCACATTGCACCATACCAAACCTTCCTGCGGGTGGTGAGTCCACTGGAAGGTACCAACCGCCCTAACCGGGATTCGAACTTGCCCAGGAGGTGAACCCTGGGGTTCCACACCAATGACAGAGACATTGCCTCTGGGCCAAAGCGCCACCAAATAATAATTAATTAAATAAAATGTTGTTAATCATTAATGGTAAATCTTAAAAAATGTTGCACATCAGGCAGCTGGACTAAATGTTTGTTTGTCCTGTAAAATCTACATCGACGTCATCATCGACCAAGTAACTGTAGAAAGTCTGTTTGATGCTCAAACCAAAATGGAATCTGTTGTTTCATTTCACGTGAACCCATCTTGTTAGACGTGACCTTTACTTTTAACAACCAAAATGAAATTAAAATTCCCTCTAAGTGATTATCAGATGTAATTAAGTCGCTTTTAACTGCAGCACTCACAGTCCAAAGACATATTTAGAATTTCATGTCACCGTCGTTCCATTCCTTTTTCCATTATCTTCAAATACATGTGGTCTTACAAAAACTGAGACATTTTTAGCTTTTTTAAAAAAAAAAAAAAACAGAAACTGGGAGAACCTTTTAGAAAATATATGTACAAAAAAGAAAGAAAAAATAACAACATTTTCCAGTCAAGCTAGCGCTAATGATAAGTCATGTATAGGGACATGGCGGTCCATGTTAAGGTGTTTAATTTTTTTATTATTTTCTTGGCAGTCACAACTAAATAAAAAAACCAAAAAACCAACTGCAAACCATTGTGTGCTGTGGTGTTTTCTTTTACACAAACTCACGTGGTTTCTTGGTGCTGACGTCTATCGCGGTGCTGCCTGGTCCATGTCCGGCGCTGTTGTAGGCTCTGACTGAGATCCTGTAGACTGTGCTTCCTCTTAAACCCGACAGCAGAGCTGTGGTGTTGGGAACCTTCACTCTCTCGGCCTCACTCTGTGGAGATCCCTCTCCCCAAAACAGAACCTGAGACCAAAGACATGGGAATACGTATGAGACTCTGGCCGTAGTTCCCCTTTAAAATCAGTAAAGTATTGGCAGCCGAGTTACTTCAAAACATTTATTTTGCCAATTTCTGACCAGACTGACTTCTGCCACGGCCGCAGTGTGCTAAAAGAAATGAGCTTTTTGCACAGCAGAGCCAGTTGATGCACAGTTGAGACGTGGCAGGAGAGGCACTTACCTACGGAGGTGCAGATTTATATGAAGTTCATTTTGGAACTTTAATGTACTCCAGAAGTAATTCTATGGCACCCAAGGTAGAAAGGAGCGTGCTATCAGCCAAGCTAGCGTGGAGGTGCACATTTTTTAAAATCGCCCAATGACAAGGTGCTGTATCAGGGCCATCAGCAATACCAAAACTGGTGCTGGGAGAGAGCGGTGTGAGGATAAGGAGCTGGTGGGGATCTGAATTCACAGCTACATCATTCATGACCCGAGTGCATGAGACAGAGGAAGCGGACAGGAAAATGTCAGACAGATGGTCTGAGAGTAACCTGGGTACTTATTCAATTGGCAGCGCTCAGGACCGTCAGGATCTTGTTTGGGAGAAGGGAAGGGGTCTGGAGTTACTGATAACAAGTGCTTCTGTACGTGTGTGATTGTGTGTGCAAGAAAGTGTGTTTTTGTTTGTAGTACTCTCTGTGTGTGTGTGTTTTAGTTATGGCTGTTTTGCCGTCACTTTTGAAACAGACTGAACCAAGGGTTTGAATGCCTGTCAGGCCAAGGACCCCAAGAAAGCTGTGAAGGATGGACCCCCTACTGTGAGTATTTTATAATCCCTTGTTAATTAATAAACCTGATGTAGTTCCATGTATAACACACTTTTAGTTAGTTTGCATTTTACTCTAGAATATTCAAATAATAACAAGAGCAGGAAGACTGAGCCCCTACCATTTATAAACATACTGGACCTAACTGATACCATAAACAAAAAAACCCCAACAAAACAACAAAATAAATAAACAAATATATTAATTGCAATTTCTGGCCAATTACAAATTAAGATTTTTTGTAAATGTGACTTGCGTGTACTGATTTTGCCATTTACATTTAAATTTTGCTAAAAATAATGTACACCAACGACACTTGCACAATACACAACTGCAAGGCTTTTATTCTGAAGACAACAATTTGGATTTGTTTCAACTGTACACACGGTCTGCGTCATGCTGATCAATGCATTTAAAACATCCAGTAAAAATGAGTCCAGACAAAGGATGGCCCGAAGTACATGTATCACATTTAGTTCCCCTTGTGTTAAGAATAACAATAAATAATAATAATAATTAATAATAACTAATAATTAAAAAGGTTTAATAATTAGTGAAACATTGTACGACGCCGATGGAACCACTACATATGACTGATGTTTAATGACAGCGTTTCATTGGCTAGAATATCTCACAGAATTAGGTTTTGACAGTGATGTTTCAGATCTGCAGTTTAAACTGCTAAAATTAATGAATTAGGTTTTTCATTGATCATTTTCCTACTCTTTTATAAGGTGTTAAATTGCACATTTTTTGTCTTTTATAAAGTGCCGAGTCAACAATGAGGTCTGGTTCAGGTGAGACATGATTTGAAGGTGAATTAACAACCTTTCCTCCTCAGACCTTTTACATCACAGTCAAGCTGCCCTCAAACGTCTCAACCAATCGAAATGTAACGATGAAGAGTCTAAAGGTTTGAAAGAGGAAGTAGTACTGCTGCTGAGGAAGATGAAGATGCATTTATCTGACATCTAACATTCACTAAAGCACAGGGCTTTTTTTTTCTTTTTTTCTGCAATTTCAAAATGTTCTTAATGTCACGCACGTGAAACAGAAATATGAAAAAACACGTTACACAGCGACTGGAGCCAGGGCCTAAAATGCTGTTCATTCACACATGTGATCAGATATGTGGATGTTCCCTGCTGGGAGAGCCTGGCAGGAGCCGAGGAGAGCTGTCCCCAAATTTTCAAACACAGTGGGTTGTCTGCTCTCTGAGGATAGACGTGGCGAACATTTCTGTCAGTGCAGACCTCAGTGTAGCTTCAGTTATTTTCCTCTTTCTCATTTTGTAAAAAAGCATAGAGACAGTACTTCATGACCAGTTAGGAGTACCGCATGGCCATTTCTTGACAAATATTACTACAGAAGAAGTAGCGACCCTGAAAGCACTTCAATAATAAGATGTGCTATTTTTAAATTTAATCCGATCCATTTTGGTGTTTCTCACATTTCAAGGGCTATGTGTGATTGGGCGCTCACACCAAAGGCCACAGGTGAGGACTGAGTGGCAGCTCCACATACACCATCAATGTAAATGGCGTCGCAGCGAGTGAACTTGGACTCCACTGTGATGGAGTTGGAAAACTGCGTCGAGATATAGGCGTTACATTTTCTTCCGCCTCTATTGCTTTTGGTGTGAACGCAGCATTCCACCACTGGTGATTAAGTACTGTGACTTCAGGACACTCCCCCAGACTCACCCTAACTCACCCTAACTCACCCTAACTCACCCTAACTCACCTGTCACATGGTGTTAAAAAAATGCTGCTGATAAATGACAGACTCACTTTTCAAAGTCTGCCTAACTTTTGGATTTTCTCCAAAAGTTCTCCATTTAGACCGTTGGAAGTTCAGCAGAAACACCCCACTGAGGGGTGAGACACAGACGGATCAGGGGGTTAATTATCTCATTTAACCTGGTGACACCTTAGGATCCCGCTGGACGAGAGCAAGTAGGGGAGAGGAAGAACATTTGTCTGCTTCTACCATGACGGAGATCATCTAGAGCACATATGTCAAACCCAAGACCCGTGGGCCACCATGTCAAATTATGTGGCCCACTAAAATGATGGAAAATGAAAGTCTATTCATTGAGTCTCTTCTTCATATGATGGTTCTAGAACTTGGAATATCTACTGATACCGATATCAATCCGATCCCTTCTTTTCTCCTCCAGAATGCTGTCATTGGGACAGTATCCCTGTTACGACGCTGTTACCGATCCAGTCCTGATACCAATCCTGAGTATCGTATCGAGCCGTCCCATGTCTCTACTAATGTTTACTGGGTGTTTTGAATGCAGTGGTCCATTTACCACACCGTACATCTCCCATACTGCATGTTGATGTTTCTGACCCGCCTCCTGGCATCCTGGAGAAGCAGTTCAATAATGTTAATCCTGTTCGCCCCACAACCTAAGACTGTGTTGTATAAAATCTGCCCTGGAGTAATTGAGTTTGACAGCCTTCATCTAATGTTTGTAATCAACATACAGTATTAGGAAAACACGATGTAATGTTATTAAAAAAGAAGCAAGAAAATACCAGAAGAATTGTGTTACTCCAGCAGCCAATAATTAGCCTTCAACCTTAGTCTGTAACCTCGGCAATAAAAGGAGTCGAGACTTGAACACTGCGGCTTTCTTGTAACTGAGGCTTTGAAAAGAAAATAAATTTAAAATAAAATTAATTTTCTTAACAGCAAAAATGTGTTTAAAAAATACCTCAATGACTCTCTGATTTTTGTACATGAAGTGAAAACCCTAAAGCTCTCAGACAGGATCCCTTTACTTTACCGTACACACAACAGTTCAGCAGCTACAGGAAGTGTCGAGTCCACTTAGTTTGTACAAGAGCTACGGAGAAGTGTAACACATTTGAAGCTGGTGTGTGGCAGTAAGAACAAAGACTCACTTTGCGTGTGATTTTTTTTCATATGCTACCACCAGACATTTTTTTGGTAAATAATAATTAATAAAATAAAATGTTGTTAATCATTAATGGTAAATCTAAAAAATACAGACAGTAGTGCAAAATGTTACACATCAGGCAGCTGGACTAACTTAGTTTTCCTAAAGAAGTCTGTCCTCTTCCAACAGGCTTCTCTAGTTCTGTTCATATAAACTTCCAAGGCTGAACTGACCTACTGTAGATGACTGAGAACTGTGGCTGTTCAGCACCATGGACAGCGCCATCAGTCACAGGGCACACACAACTTCACTGCTCACCAGGCCTGAGTTCTCTTACTGTTTTATAAACATTAAAAATGGGGTTCATCCTTCCTCCTCCTCCTCCTCCTCCTCTTCCTCTGGACACAATTCCAATGCGTTGGTCTGTGACTCAGTGACTGAGTGTGTCGGTACAAAACTATTCTTAACTGTATATACAACTCTAAACCTCTAACTATATCGAACAAAACAGGAAATACCTTTAGGTTTGCAGGGCAGCCATTGTTGATAATCAAGATCTACTTTTCCACCTCTAGATTGTTCTCTAGAACTGAGGAGGTTTATTTTGTAATATTTTATGGCTTGTTCCTCATATATTTGAATTACTTTTATTGAATTCCTCCCACAGATTTTTCAAAGGTGGTATCTTAGCCATAGATTCAAACACAGTATTGAGTGAGTCAGGACCTAACACCCCCCTCCCTCCCTCCCTCCCCACTCTGTCTCGACAGTCTCTCTGCTGCTTAATGATTGATAGGGGCAAAAAAGCAGGTTAACACGGGGGGTCATTTTGTTAAAAAGGGGGGAATACATTCCAGTAAATCCTACACGAATCCACTCCTGATGACAGGTAACTGTGTGGTCAAGGTTTTGTGTGCAGTAATATGCTGACCAAAATCAATACAAAGCCTTACCAGTTTGAAATATAAGGCTGTGTGTAGGCATTAATGAACCGTTTCCCGGGTGAATCTTTACATCCTAAACATTGTATGGATGGAAAAGGCAACTGTCATGTCTGCTTGGGTCTTTATCGATGTCTCTCTCTCTCTCTCTCTTTCCTTTTCACTCTGCATCACACTGAACAAAAACCTACACATTCATTTGCCTTAGGAACATCTTCACCTGAAACCTTGCTCTGTTTTGTTCTTGCTGCATGGAAGCTACACCTCCAACACTGTTTGATTCCTGTCTCCAACCTTATCCAGACTGCTGTACATCCCAGTTCCTCGGCTCATGTTATTTTTAATTCTTTCTACCCTCGTCAAACCCTGAGAAAATTTCATTATCTTGACGGCTGCCATGTACAACTCTGCTTCTTGTCTCTTACACAGTGTACCATCTTAGTCCAGAGCAAAGCCTATTACACTCTGTTGTATTCCCTGTAAAGTCAAACTGCTGCATGACAATCACAACATTCGCTGTATTTTATCAGATATAGTTCATATTTGTACAAATGTACAGATAAATATATAAACACACAAAAAGATAATTAACTAATTAGAAAAATATAGTGTAAAAACCATTAAATTCAAATTATTCATAGCATTTGGAGACATTTTTGTGATGATATATCCCAGATTTAAACATGGTGCTTAAGTTGGAGTTCATACCTCATATGCTATGATCTTCTCCGTGCTGGACCTTGGAAGAACTGGTTCCCAGTGCACCTCTATCTGGGATGCTGATAAAGCCTGACCAAACACTCCTGATGGCGCCTCAGTGGGCTCTAAGGAAAACACAAATTATGCAGGATTGCAATTAAGAGTTGGAGCATAATTTTAAAAAAAGAAGAAATATTAGAAACAACTTTGCAGCATGTTCATCAACCATACCTTCCTCTGCAGAAAAAATCCTCACAACTGGGCTGTATGGACCCTCCTCCAGGCTGTTGAAGGTTCCCACCTTAACTTCAAACAGAGACAGCGGTTGGACGCTGTGGTTTTTGTAAACGTATCTGGATGTATCAGCTGATGCCAGTGCAGTTTTCATCCAGGTGAGGCTGCCAAGCAGACGGAAAGCCACAATGTAACCAAAGTCCTCTCCACTCTGTTGTTCCTCTGGAACAGGCTTAGTTAGGAAAGACAACACAAGTTACCCTCCACACCAACACGAGCGCTGGTTAAATCAGTTAGCAAGACTGAAGTAGCGATCGGTAAATAAGCCGTGAAGCAGCATGTTGCTGTGCTTTAAACTGTGATCACATGATTCAATCCCTCCTGCTCTGTATCTTGGTTTTGATTTACACAACAAGGGGAGTCTGCAGGCAGGAAATCAGTGAAGCAACGCTGATAATTAAAAGCCACCACGCTAGGACTATAAACCATCACACAAAACACACACACACACACGAACAACACTATACAATAACAAAGATAGAAATCAAAAATACCTCCCAAGTGATGACGAGTTCTCCGCGAGCTCCTCCACCACCGCTCACATTAGCAGGTGCAACCTTAGGAGCTGGAGAGGCACAAAGGGAAAAGAATCTCTTCACCAATTTGGAGGTGTGTGTAAAGCAGGTGTTGAAGATTCTACAAATTCACAGCTTTGAAGACGGTGATCACAGCTGCTTCTCCAGATCATCATGAAAAGTCTCACTAACAGGGATGGTTCCACACAACAATTTAATACCGATACCTTTGTTTTCTCCTCCAACATGCTGTGGGCTGCCATTGCTAATGTGCTAATGTGATACTGTTTACAACAAAGTTAAGTTGAGCATTTGGGCTTCGGATCAAATCGGTCGCACTTCCTGAAATTCTGACCAATGTTGTACAAATACTGATCCTGAGTATTGAATTGAGCCATCCCTACCAATGAAATCCTAATTCCGACTCCCATCAGCAGCTGCTGCACCTTAAACTCATCAAAATGCTAGTTTCATTTTCTAATAATGTGTTACCAAGAGGAAGCAAAAATAAAGAAATTACCTGCTGCTTTGGTTCGTATCTGTTGAGACGCCATGCTGGGTTCTCCAACACCAACACTGTTAATTGCCACCACCCGGAATTGATAATCCACCCAGGCATTTAAATCTTTCACTTTGGCTTGGGTCATCTGTCCAGGCACTGAATCAGGAACTAGGAAGAAAAAATAGAACTATTTAGTTTTTATTGTTGTTAATGATATTTGTAATAAAACTTGTTATCATTACATCATCATCATTACCTAATACATGACACTAATGCATGGTATTATATATGTGACAGAGACATGGAAAGATTTACAGTTTTTTGTTATTTTAGAAATGCTCTCAGGTGTTGTTGATTCACTGCTACTCCTGTGAGTCATTTTTGTGACATTGAACTGTAGTTAGGAATCTTTCCTATGGATTTACCTCAAAGTCTATACTCATGGTTTCTGGAAGGATAAAACAGCAGTGCTCAAATTTTGTGCAAGCTGTTTTTAACTGGCTGAAATCCAGAGTAGTTCTGATTTCCATTTTGTCATTTTGATGCCGAGGGGAAACGCGACTTCAAAGCCACATTTAAAATACATCTACAAACTAAGCATTCTTTAATGAAACATTCCAAACAGTTCAGAAGAAATTAATTTTTAATTCTTCACAGGTGTTGTCAAATTTAGAATGAGATGTGTGTTTTTTTTTTGTCAACTGCGTTCTTAGTTTTGTAGCTGGATTAAACACCTACTAAAATGTGATGTCAATTAACGTGTTACCTGTCCTCACGGTCTGCCAGCCGAAGGAAAAGGGCGTCCGGGCCTGCAGAATGTACATTGTTACAGGACTGTGGTTGTCAGGCCCAGAGCCCCAGGACAGTGTCACCGTGGTATCTGTAATGTCACTCACCACCAGGCCCTCAGGGGCACCAGGTGGTCCTGCAACACCAGGAAACACACACACACACACACACACAGTTACCTCCATCAGCCGCAGACCAGCACCAGTCAAAACAAATGAAATGGTTCCAGGTTAAGCTCTTTGTAACGACACACTAAGACCAGATCAGAGAAGTTCACTGAGTCATAACACAAACACCAACCCACGTCGTGGAGACGTAATGAGGTCTTCAGGGATGGTCTGTTGAATCACTACTCTGAAAAGTTTAGTTTAGTGAGAACTTACACTGTCAACCTCCTTCACCCAGATGTGTTGAAATGAATACAAAATAAAAACATTTTTAAATGTGCACCATGTGATATTTTTCTGGCAGAGAATAAATGATCTCCTGAAACTGCTTATCAACCAATGATAATGGGAAATCATTGACGGAAGATGCATCTCTGACTGAGTGATGGTGAAACTATACATCCGCGAGGGACACAACAGCAATACAGTTCCTGTTGAAGGGCTGGTTTTAAATGGAAGACTGTATAGATCAGGGGTCCCAAACCCCTGGTTTGTGGACCAGTACCAGTCCAAAGGTCACAACGGGTGGTACTGGCTGACTAGCCCTTGTAACAAAAAAGGTTGTGGACCACCGGTATAAATGTAACAGCTCCATAACAGACTAATACATGTTTCTGCAACTGATTATTAGTTATTCAAGCTACAAATATTGTTTATTTCTGTGTAATAAAACTTTTAATTTCATAGGTTAATAAACTCTGGACTTTATTAAATGCTTTTTAAGCTTCCGTGGGCCACACAAAACACCTTGGTGGGCCACATTTGGGCCCCAGGCCATGAGTTTGACAAGTATGCTATACATGTTAAAGACCATTATCAACGTACACAGTGACTGGCTCCTTTTAGGCATTATGTTTGACTACTAAGGTGTTATTAATGTTACCCCACTCCTTAAATGACATTGTAAAAATCTGTCCAGATATGGCTGTAAATGCAGGCACAGGTAGAGTGTATGTCAAGTTATAATTATTTAAGAAATGTTCTACAATGATACATTTTGATTTTTTCATCATTGAGGTCTGGGCTACATTAAGTGGAAGGTCTATATTATTTTTACACAAATTATAACTTCTGGTATATTACTCAGATCAAAACGTTAGCACAAAGTGTCACTTAAAATTGTCGTTTGTAGGGTTTGACTCCTGCACAGACTGTGTGACCAATCAAAATGTTGAGGTGTGAGTTTAAAAGCAGCAACAATATGACATAACCTGATCAAAGCTGTCGACAGTTTTGAACACTTTACCATGTTCAAAACTGTCCAACAGTCTGAAGATTGTGTCTTATAACGCTGTCAAACTGTCTACATTTTAAATCTGATTAATGACAGAGTAGCTGAGGACTTATCATAAAAAAATGATGAGTTTAATTAGAAATGATTAATTTTGATTTATGTGGACAAATCAACCTGCCTAAATGTGTCAACGGAAATTCTCTATACAACAGGAAGAGAAAAACAAAACCAGCAGGTAGAGGCTGTTTTTATTAGTGGCCGATCCAAAGGATGTATTCATCAAACTCAAAATTGAGCTTTTCAAAGTTGGTGGATTTTAGTCATTACTGTTCATCTTGACGATTAATCGGTCAATGTATGTAGACATTCTTCCAAAACTTTATAAAGCCAATCTCCTCAACAATATTAATCAGTCTACGGTCTCTCACAACAAATGATCTCGGTCAGCTTGTTTGCTGTCGACTGACTGACTGATGACCAGTCAGTGAGGCTGGTCTGACACAGGCTGGACATCTGACTTCAAGTTGAAGCCTCCACAGATGCATGCTGGGTGTTGAGATGGTATTTTAGGCGCTTGGTTTCCAGCAGTATGTGCAAAAACAAAACAACGTCGGTGTCGTGTCGTCTGTGTACTGGAGCAACGGCGTGGATGGATTTTAATCTGATTAACTTTGACAAATAATTAACATAATAAAGGCTGTCATTTTGACAGGCCTGGTTCAAGCAAAGTACACCCATGCAAAGTGGGAATATTATTAAGAACTTAAGGGAGAAGAGGAGGAGGTATCAGCAGATACTCCACACTGAAACTAAGTCCACACTGTTTTGGCTCTGGAGCTACTGTTCAAATGACCAGGCTAAAATGATCTACTGTGAAAATATTAAATTTATGCATATATTTATTTTATATATATTTACTCATACAAAACTGAACATATTTAAATGTGAATTTTTTTTTACTGCTCATGATCTACCAAGACTCCCTTTGCAGTCTATTGGTAAATTCCAATCTACTTCATTGGTCACCTGTGCTGTAGCACAAAGATTGAGCAATGCCTTGTTCTTACATGAATAAAGTTAAATGTTCATCGAGTTTTAACTTGAAAAGATTCAAGGTTGAAGTGATGTGTCTGGACTTATTCATCACCGAGATTCTCTACTGTGCGCGTGTGTGTACACACACAATACCTAAATATGGGTAGGAGGCGTACCTCTGACTATTAAGTCAGCAGCTGCTGATACTGTGTCCACCTCAGTCTTCACCATACACACATACTTCCCAGAATGCTTCAGCTGTGTGTTCTTCACCATCAGGTCACCTGTGAATCCCTGTTAACAAACACACGTGTGTAAGAACAAACATTGAAAGAGAAAAATTCAAAATGATGAAATGTCAAAAAATCATATAAAAAATTAACACATTTAATTTTCTTTCCACTCAAAGCTATCTGCTAAAAAAACACAAACAGGCAAACAAGAATAAGTAAAGAGTAAATATATATAGTATTGAAGTATAATAATAAATATTGAAGTATCACCAACAATGGGTATCTGAGGAGTCATCCTTGATTAAAACTGCATCGGTGAAGAGATTAACACAAATCAGGAGCTAGCATAAAAATCAAGGGGCGGATGTCAGAGCTGTAAAGTTGCTTCGGTCTAGACGGACTCTGCTAAAAGACGCATGAATCTTGTGATCGCAAAAATACACAGGCTCCTTTATTTATCTGGGGAAAAGTTGATTGATTTTCTCATACTGAGAGATCACCTGAGGGCAGGAGGAAAGTCATCCAGGTTACAGGTTCTCCCTCCAGACACAACACTCTGAAAACAGCTGCTGGCATCTCTGAATTAAATGTGCACATTTGTGACAGGTGGGCGTAAAAACAAAGGGCTATATATAAAACAATGATTTCCCAAGTGCATTTATGTTTGCATACACATGACCCAAGGTATACTTCAAAAGTTTGACATTTTGGCAAAGACTATGAACTATGAAACTATGAACGCTAAAAGGCAATTAGCTTTAGTTTAGCATAGTGAATGGGTAAAAAAAAATATGTGCAACTGTCATGTGTCTTTACATATGACAGTTTTAAAGCCATCTTTCGCGTGATGACATATTCGTCTGCTCCATTTAAACACCATACATCAGACAGATGAAAACTTCCTTAATAAATTTAAGCTAGATGGCGATGTAAGTGAAATTTAAAGAAACCTGTACTTGGTTATTTTAAATAAAGGATCCATCCAAACTGATGATCATTCTTGACCTTTGAACTCCTACATCACATTACATTTCCAGCAGAGATTGTCCCAGGTATAAACCAGTACCGTCAGACAATCTTCACCAACATCATCAGTCAGCCCACTCTCCCAATCACAAACTCTCCCTTGAATGTATGGTGGAGAGAGGAGGCCATCCATGCGTTTTGAAGAACTACCATTGAGTGCTCGGGGCCTGAACCCATCTGCGAGCGACTAAAACACAGTACCTGACACCTGTGTTCAGAGGAGGCCAAATTATAGCTTGTTTCTGTCCACGGAATGAAAGGTCTGTGACAAGGTTCAACAGCACAGGAGCTTTGAAGGTAGAAGACGGAACAGTTGTCATGACAGCTTTCAATGGTACTAAAAACAAGCTAATCCACATGCTTGTTCCACATTTCTGCTGATAATCGGTATCAGCAGATATGTGGAACAAGCATGCATCAATCAAGATACTTTCTTTCTACAGCATGTCATACAATGTTAAATTGAGCATTTGGCCTTAGGTATCGGATCAGATGGGCTATACTGTACTTTAACCAATTTCAGACTAATACTAATCCTGTTTATCAAACTGATCACTATTCAAATATTTTTAAGGAGTGCTGCCATCAAAGATCATTATTATGTCAAGATATCTGTAGATATATGTAATATGGTTTGTTAGAAAATCCGTCCCAGTCGTGAGAGCCCGTCCACACCACTGCAGAAATGTTCCAGGCTGAAAAACCTGTGCTGTCAGGAGCTTTAATATCAGCCACTCTCTGTAATGTTTATAGGTCATATCTTTGGCCCTAATACCCCGTAATGTGTTCAGCTGCATTACACTTACCCCTCCAATCATTTCAAAGTTCTCCTGTCTGCTAAAATCAATGGCTTTCCCGTTGAAAAACCACTTGAAGGTGGGGGTCAGGCTCGGATCACTGGACACCTCGCATGGCAACACGAGGCTCTGTCCAACACTTGCATCTAAGCTTAGCGGCGGAACTACGATCTTGGTTGGTTCTACAAAATCGTGAGGAGAATTGTGTTAGATGATCATGGAAGGACCTGCCAAATGAGGGAGATAATACAGTTACATTTCGCAGGAGTCGAGAGACATATTCTGCTCCATTAGTGTAATTAAATGGCCTTTAATAACGTCACTTAGTGCGTGCTACGTCTCTGGGATGAATAATTAAATATCACATTCAGGGCGTCAGCATAGACGAAAAGGGACTTCCCTTATATTTGGAGTCATTTTTGAATATGCAAATTCTACGACTGTTCATTTTAAATAAAATGTTGCTAAAAATGTCATCTTTTCTCACAGCCGGGGAGGTCTCAGTGGTGTGTCTCCCTCTGCTTCATAACTCACAACTGACATGCAGTACAATAAGCAAAGATGACTTATACATCTGTCAAAAACCAGGAACATAAAATGGCTGTATATTTCATTATCAATGTAATGCTTGAGCTGTTCTTCTTCTCTCCTGACAGGAGCCCACACCTTAGACTTATAAGGTTAAAAAAACCACAGGTGAAATACCTTTCACCAGCAGCGTCCCTGTGCTGCTAGATGTTCCAAAATGGTTGCTGGCCACACACGTGTACATGCCCCCGTCAGACCTTGAGATGTTGGTGATTCGGAGAGTTCCGTCCTCCATTATAGTCTGTCTGAGAAAGGGGAAAAACTGAAACAGCGTGTCGCCAGGATTTATCTCAGCATTTGGTATTTGGGTAATTAATTGAGAAGGCATGATAAAGATTAAAACGAGCTACTTCCTGTCTGGGATCTGAGGTCTAATCCCTAAAGCCAATAAAAGCCTATTTAATTATACTACTAATTACCACGTGATCAACACTTTTCAGCTCCACTCTCAGATGTCTTTTTCTATTCAGCTTAGCGTGAATAGCATGATGCTACACTAGCTCATTAATTTACTGACTATTTTCAGATATGGGTTCCTTAAGACGTTTTGGATTCCTCTTTCCATAACTGTGAATACAGGTCATTCATGTAACTTATTGATTCTTCAAGACTGGATTAAAAGATGCGGAAGTGACACGTGCACTTTTTTCATTTATTAATTACTATCAATATTTTATGAGAGTAACTGATACTCAATCGATATCTGTGCGAGTATTGATACATCGGTACCACGGAACTGATACTCCCATCACTGCTGTTGAATTAATTAATGTTAAAGTTAATGTTGGACTCAGACTCTTCTGTTTCACCCATAAACCAAGTTTTGCTCATACAAAAGCAGCATGTTTTTGTATGCTCAATTTTATGACGTGATTGAACTCCTCCCTTGTCTTTGCTGAGTTCAGATGGTACCGACAACCTTAGCCGAGACAGAAACTATCTGTAGTAGGATCAGCTTTGTACTGACATCACATATGCACACACACACACACACAGTAAAAATGCATACATCAGACAACCAGAGCATAGCAGACAGACGCCAGCAGCGCTGAGATAAAGAGGAGGACTAAATTAGAACTCTACCTGGAGCATCATCAACAACATGTTATAGATGGTATCAACACACGTTGTAAAGGGTGGACTGTATAACTAAGTCGTTATGATTTTCCATAGTAGTTATGATTTATTCTCTGTGACTTCAGTCTGAAGATGGCACCAAACATGTTCCTATTAATCCTAAACAAAGACCATGGACTAATTTCACACTTTCTACCGGCTATTTAAGTCTGTTTGTTTTAAACCCTGCACTAGCCACTATCTAGCCTTTGGCTTTCACAGCCTGGACAAACATTTACCTCCCTTTTCTTTTCAACAAACACATCCTGATGGCAGCTCCCACGCTGAGCTGCAACTGACTGTGTGCATTAGTATGTGGGCAGAAGGCAGGCGCAGCAACAACAACAAGCTGTTTCTTTTAATTCATAGGTGTAGCCCCAGACGTTAAATCATGACCCGGTGTGACCCGTCATGTAGCCAGAGCTGGACCTTCTTTGAAGGCTGGAGTGAGATATTTTTCTGTGTTTGTTCCGCAGCAACAGTGTCCTCACTGGGCGACTGTTCTATATTCAGCCGTTTGTCTGCTTTGAAGAGGGATGGAACTGTGGGATGCTGACTGCTTTGAACTTTCAAACAACTAAATTGTACCGTGCTCTTGATGTGGTACTGATGGACTCTGGGTCACGGCCTCACTCTCACATCCAGCAAAAGACATCAGTCAAAGCTGTTGTACATCAGCAGAAAAACAACATCACCATCTTTACGAGGATTCTGCCGTCTGATTGACAAGAAATTACTTCCTCGGCCTGACGCGGGCTGAGTAATGCCACTCTGCCTCCGACGTCCCCTTTGTGCAACGGCATAAATAACAACGAGTCCCAGAAATGAACACAACCAGGGGCATAAACCCTTTTAACAGAGGCCACCGGAGGCAGGAGCACTGGTGCATGCAGTACAATACCTTACCTCTTGCTGTCCTTCAGCTGTTCACCTCCTTTCCACCAGGATGTTGTAGCCCGGGGGGACGCATGGGGGCGACACTCTAAAACAACCTCGCCCCCCTTCTGGATGACTGTGGACTTCCTTACTGGGCGCTGCGTGAAGTCAGGTGGGGAGGCTGGGGAGCGAACACATGTCAACATGATTCACCCCCTCCTCCTTCTTTAAGCAGCAGCTGTGCAGCAGCCAAAAATGTCAAGAGCATCTCTGGTAATTAGGGGAGTTTTAATTGACTTTGTTTGAAAAGATCACAGGCACAATTAATGGAGCTTCTGTTTGAGGCTGTTTTGGTGTGATTTTTGTAACTTTTAACTGTGATAACTTTATACACAGTGTGTTGTGAAAACACACTGTCTTCTGCAAGTTTAGCTCTTACTTTATTTAGACAGTAGCCCGCTTTCCAAAACAACCAACAACAGCCACCATCTGGTGTGTGTGTGAGTTTTATTTTATTAGAATAAAAAATACCAAGACCAAAATAATAAATCAGAAGGTGTTCATTATTCTTATAAATCAAGCTCGAAATCCCCTTGATTTTGATTTTCTACCTACACACCAATATGTCTGGATCAAGTGTTAAACCCTTGAGTTCTTGTTTAAATAGATCGCTATTTCTATTTATGCAGATTCTATTGGATTGTTACAAAGACAAAGTCAAGTCTCACTTTGAATCCAATATCTTATTTTGCCAATCCAACAAAAATATTTGATACCAGGCAAACTGAGTCTATTGAATTGAGTTCCTTTCTTAAATAGACTATATTATACAAAATTGATATGCTCTGTGGAAAGCCTGCAACTGTATTAATAAAAACGTTCTTACAAGGACTGGTATAAATTTCACTGTTATTTTTTTTCACAGTGCAACAGACAGAATTGATACAATTCTTATATAAAATGTGGGGTTCATTTAAAAGTGAAATCCACTGTGTTCAAATTATAAACAGGTCTGGGGGCATTTGCTTCAGGTTCGGTGTTTTATCCCCTCCTTTGCAGCTCAGCTAATTAATAATGATTAACCAACTTCTTACCCACAACCTTCAGCTCAGCACTGGCATACAAAGCTCCATGTTCATTCTCCGACACACACTGATACATCCCTGAGTCTGACTGGCTTATGCTGGATATAGTCAGTCGACCATCTTCCACATGGATCCGACCCTGTACAGACAGAGTTAAAGCAGAATGTTTTGGTTTTTTTTTAAGCAGTCTTAATTGCATGATATTCATAGTCAGAAGAGAACGCCCGACCTCTGCTGATAGTCGCCGACCATTTTTTAGCCATCTGTAAGTAGGCTCAGGTTTACCGCTGGCTTTACACTCCCACTGCAGGTTGGCATTTATCGCCATGTGAGAGTCTCTCAGTGTCTGTACCCACTGCAAATGTTCCACATCTGTAAGAATGCCAAGCAACAGAATGATGAAATATAGGCTATATTATATAGACAACTGCAGTAAATGTTATTTCTTTTCTTTCAACATCTTTTTCTAAACTCTAAAAGCCCTTGCCGTGTGTAGTAAATTATTTATTTGATTTACCTTGACTTCTGATTTAGATGAGCACAGACTCGTCTTATAGTTTAAGTTATAATTAAAACACATTCAAAAATGAAAATTAGAAATGTACTAAAAAATATCATCGACTCATTCAGAGTTAAGGTTCAAGTCAAAGGACCTTTTTTAGTCTTTAAAGAAAAACTTTTTTAAATTTTCTCTTTTTAAGGTTTTGCATTTATTATAAAACACAAAATGATTTTACCTCATTGTATACTGTACAAGGAAATGTTTTATTATAACTACCTTTAATTTTAATAGTCCATGCCTTCAGCTGTTGTAGTCATGCCAAAGTTTATAGTTATGTGCATTATTCATTAACTTAATTTTTAAATGATTTTAAATTTGTTTGACAAAAATAATTTTTAAATTAAATTAAAATAAAAGATTCAATTAAATTAATTAAACCTATCATGAACAATTGGTTTAGAAACTGTATAATTTATACTTGATATTAGATACTTATTAGATACTTGATATTGTTTTTTTTTTATTCCATGAAAAGATGGATTTGGGAAATTGATTTAAATGAATAAGGGGTTTCTTAAAAATACTGATTATAAAGCACAGTTATGCGGCATTGCTCAACAATGGCAATGTTGACCTTCTGTTCATACATGCTGCTTTTATAGACTCATATCTTTTGAAAGCTGGCAGCTTTACATTTTGATATGTTTTTTCCTTTACAGTCTATGAAACAAACCTGTGTTTATTCATTAAGTTCTCAACCTTGATAACAGCTTTAATCAGGGTGAAGACAGAAGAGTTGGCAAATGTCAAGTTTAGTCATAAATCATCCTGACATTCTAAATTAATGTCACATTAGAAAAAAAAAATATCCCAGCTCAGTTCAGGATTCTATCTTTGCCTGGTGCAGAGTAAATACAAGACATTTACACCGGGGCCTTTGTGTAAGGTATTAAAATGGGTTTTTAATGTAATATTTTAACCAGCTGTGAAAAGACAGAGACAAGAGTTCACAAAGTTCTTACTGTGGAAAATAAGTTGCCCTCTGGCGATATTTCGTCCTCGACTGTTTTCAGCCACACACTCATAAACACCAGCATCCTCTGGCCGGAAATATGGAATCTCCAGAACCCTGTTGGAGTGATTGATCTTAATCTTGCCAGGCAGTGGATTTCCATCTGCTCTTTTCCATGAGATGTCAGGCACGGGGCTGCAGAGGGCACAGAAAAATGGCTAAGTTGGACACATTTCTCAGCTCACACCGACTGAGGACATTACTGCTGCTGTCGTTGTCACTCAGTGTGTAGCGACACAGGATGTTGGGCTGGAAATATGTAGCCGTTTGATTGTGACACTTACTTTCCCAAGGCGAAACATTCCAGCTTCACAGACGATCCTTTGGAGACTTGTAAGATGTTTGGAAACTGCACCTCAATCTTTGGTTCGTATTCACCCATCACCACTGCATTAGATACCAAAGGAAATCACAAAAAAAGACAAAAAAAGACAAAAACTAATTGTACTATATTGATCACATATTTGGGGATTTGTTGTGTTAGCAGCAGATATGCTGTTAACACGCTGCCCCCAGCAGGTGCCAAGCATGTGGTTCCTCTGGGAATTGAACACAGCATTCTCTGCTCTCTGATTCAGAGGGAGGCATGCTATCCGCTACACTATGGAACTGACTGTACATGCACAGGGCATAGAAAGTATAATATTTTTTAATAGTATTAAGTAAGAAAAAGTTTCAAATTCATGTGATCATAACTATTGGTCAAATTAAGGATAAATATTTCAGCGCCAGCCAATCAGCAGAAAAGAAAACACGACTTGTCGACTCCTCCCTGGAGACGTCGAGTTGAGCAACTCGCATCGACAGATCAGTTTTCCTGTTAATGCCCTTGCGTGCACAATTCAGTCCACAAGATAACCAGGATGCAGCAGAGTTTAGTAAAGAATGCTTACCGTCCCTCCGCACCACCACAGGTGTGGGGGGGCTGAAAACCGTCACGTTGGTCATCATGTTCCTTACAGTACAGGTATAGTTTCCCGCATCCAAGGCCTCCACCTTGGCTATGTACAAGTTGCCTGTCTTCTGAGAGACAAAGCGCCGCGTGTCCTGTTGCAGGAAGTTGCGTTGTCCATTGAAACCCCATGAATATCTCATTTCTAAAGAGGAAAACACACATAGAAAAGACGACGTATATTGGATACAGAAGCTTCAGATAGATGTACTTTCCAGTAACTTCCCACCAAAGATTTTCAAGACACAGACAAATTGTCAGCGAGATTGATTTTTTCATTTACTGCCAGAATGAAAATCAGAAGATGGCCTTAAACGATGAGGTCAATAATAATAATAAGCGTTCTTTATTTTAGTAAAAAAAAAACCTGTCCTTGAAAAACAACTCTTTGATTGATCTCTACAAAGTACACTTTGTTTTTAAAGTTTTTCTGACATACTGTAAACACAACCCCCGCCCCCCCAAAAAAACAGGATATCAAAACTGAAAGAACAAAACAGTCAAGAGGTCAAAGCAAACACACATTCAGACTAATTGGGTACAAAAAAATGACGTGTCTGTGATGGTTCTTTGTGCAACTACACACTCCACTACCACCAAAGCATGGACTCTAAGGACTTCTAGAAGGGCTCGCAGATGTCAGGCCCTTAGGTGTAGGAAGAGGATATTGTATGTCCTATAAGCTCAGGGCTAAAGCCCGTACAGATCACTGGTGTTACTCTATAACCCTCCTCGGTTTGTCCCTCCTCATGCTGCTGTCATTAGGTTTTATTTTTACTGCAGTGCTGTAAACTTCACCACTACCGCTTTTGCTAGGATACACTGTATCAAAAATTCTAAAACTGATGTTCTAAATGCTGACAGCTTCAAAAGGTTTCTTTGTCAAGTGGTGAGATTTGTTTTACTATTAAAGTAAGACTTTTTTAACAACCGATTTCTAAACCTGTTAATAACACTGACAATTTGCAACAGGTTTTCATCAAACTCCCTCTGATTTCTTTCTTTTCCCAAGGCTGAAAGAACATTCAAAGGAGACTTGATTTCTCGATTTCTTTCATGAGGCGAAGAAACAGGATGTGACCAGCTGATAAAAATTTCCCCAAAATTCTACAAAGAAGAAATTCTCTGATGAAAACACTGTTTGGAGAAGGCTTCAGTTGGTCGTAGAATTTGTCGTAGCATTTGTTTAGTATTTAGATTTTTGTTTCCAAGAATGACAAATACAAGTACAATTGATTCTACTGCTATAGAGACGACTTAATTAACAGGAGTAACACCTGCTGCTGTAGTCCAAAAGTACAGAGAGATGAAGAGAGAGACAGAAGAGCACAGAGATATAAAGGAAACTTCCTTTTCTCTGCGATTGTCTGCTGTGTTGTTACCATGGTGTTGAATACAGAAATCGGCAGGGACTGACTGGACTGGGGGTTGTATGTCAAATTATTGCATTTAAGAAGTTGCTGCCATATTAATTTATATCTTGTGTTGAAGCGGTGAAGAGTTGTAAAAACACCTAAGGTCAAAAAAAGGGAATCTTAATGTTAGAGACCTCTTCAGGGACTGAACAATAAACTTGACCGTTAGTGCAGTGCTCTGGTGTCTGACATTTTGTTCTGCAGTCAGACTCTTTAACTGGACACACATCAAAAAGTCTCAGCCAATGGCTGGAGGGGGGAAATGCTGAATTAAAATCATTACAGGGAAGTGAAGGCAGATACTGGCAGAGCATTCGTGATCAGGGACTATCAGAGAGAAGTCAGTTAAAGAGCTGTGGTCTCAGAGCAACAGAGGACTTGTAGGCACAGGATCATGGGTGTTCCGACAGTTTAATTCCCAGCATGAACCAATGCAGACCACTTACCTATTGACTGCTTAAAGGGGCTTAAAGCTCCTTTTCTCCTTTAATGAGCATCTGTGCATCACGTCTCCCCTTAAGTGGAGCATCCTCAAGCATTAAGGGAGCTTTGGCAGAAATTTAGACATCTTTTTAACCTTTTTCTTTTTCATTTTAACACATCTCAATCATTGACAATGGGTCCTAATCCCATTTTATTGTGTGTGACTGGGCCGTGTTTGGGAGGAATCTAAAGAATCGAAGCTGAGAGTTGATTCGCTGTAGCATGGTCACAAGATCCAGACACACAGAGTGTAAAAGAATAGCTGATATGCAGGCATGAAATTATAATGATGCGCAATAAGTGGCGTAAGACGTAAAGGCCGGCTGATGAACGGTACACAGACACAGGGGGCCACTCACAGCTGTGTCATGGGATAAATCCTCCACAGTCCACAGCAGTCTTTATTACCCCACTCATAACCTGCCCACACGGAGGGTGGGAAAAATGACAGTGGTGAAGGTGTAGCAAAGCAGGCTTCACAGATGACAGTGTAGTCACAGATCTTATGGGCGAAAAGTGAGCTCAAGGTTAAGAAGTGTGAAGCAATGAAGTATAGATTTAAAGGAATGGGCCGGAGCTGGCTGAGTGTAGGAAAATGTTCTTTTCCTGACAGATAAGGAAAAGTGAGTGGGGAAAAAAACAGGGTGTCAGAGTTGGAAAAGTTAAAAAAGGAAAAGCAGCAGAAAGAGAAGTTGGGAAAGTATGAAAACAAAAGAGACACAGCAGTGTTACACAGATATAATAAGCAGCAGAGTGGGCAACCATGAGGACTGCTGAGGCAAGCAGTAGCAGGAAACTACAATAGACACAGCAGAAGAGGGAAGACAGTGTGTCGTACCTCCGTAATGCGGTGGAGGGCCACAGAGCAGAACTACAGCTTGACCCTCTCTCACTGACACCATGTTTCTGGGCTTCCTGCTAAAGTTTTGCAGAACTGTTGAAAAAAAACAAAACAACGATCAATATAGAAACTGAAAAGTAAAGTTGCAATGTTGACCTTATGTGACGTGTGAGGAAATAGTTTAAAGACGAGAGAAAAAATAAGCTGTCTTTATCCATGTGTACAGATGAGGAAGCAGTAACAGGACTAAAGCTTATAAGATTACAGCCACTGTTATTAAATGCTGTGTCCTGTGTTACAGAAAAGTAAACAGAAGAAAGATGTGTCTTAGAAATAGCACCTAAGATCCAAGAGGAACTCCGAAAATATCTGTGTTAGTCAAATCTGTATTGGATTCATTCATTGGTTACATTTAGCTTATATTAATATTACAAATTAAGTTAATTAGTCCTTGCAATGTTAACAATTATGCTATTGCTTTAGCATGATGCTCATTAGCATGTTGCTAAATCAGCTAGACTCCTTAACACTCTATGATGACTCTTGATACGTACATATAAAATGTTTGTTTTCATGTATATTTTTATTAGCCAATAGGCATCTCACATGCAAACTGGACTTTTGCCTCTCTGCTGACAATGGTCCCAAATGTATTGGCTGCGATGCACTGATAAACGCCTTTATGGCTGACGACGTGAGGGTTATTGATCAACAGGTTCCCCTCTATGAGACTGTAGTTTGGATCCGAGACTGTGTTGATGTCTCTGCTGTCAACTTTCCACCTGTAGACAAAAGGAGTTCAAAAGCCTCGCTTTAGGCAAAAATGACAGAAGACAAAAACAAACATGATAGTTGCATCATGTTGACCCCCACCTATCTGCACCACTAAAGAGTCACTTACTTGTAATGTGGAGGTGGGTTCCCTTTTGCTTTGCAGTTCATAAAAACCTGCTTATCATCATTGCTCAGAGGAAAGACACTGTCACTGGGCTCCTGGGTGAAGACAGGACCATGGCGTGTATTCTCTGTTGGAAAAACAATAAATGAATCAGAAAACACCACATTTGTTTAAGCAACAACACTGAATTAAGGAATGGAAAATCAGTGTGAATACTCCCTACAGCTGAGTAAATACTTGTCAACATGACCTTGGAGTTGAGTTAACCTACAGTACAAATACACATGTAACAAAGTGTGCTGGCATGTGCAGTTAAGGAAAATGAAGATTACCATGTAGTGGTGGTGACCAACTATAATTTTAGACATTAGGGGCCAGACAATCAAATAAAATAAAACAAATTTCCGTTTAATATTTAATAATTTAATAATAATTATTCTTATTCTTATATTATACAAATACTAGCTGCTACTAGTAAATAACAAATATTAAAAGAGAAATTGTAATGATGGCTGTGCCCAGATTTGTTGATATTAATGATGTCATATAGTTTGTATCTTGTCAAAAAATATGTGAACAAGAACAAAGAGAAAGCTCTGCTTTTGGATCTTGTCTGTCATTGTTGAAAGCCCTGGTAAAGATCCATGCAACTTGTTGGTTGTAAATGTAAATTTAAAGACAAAGTGCTATGGGTGATTAACAGGTTTTTGGAAGGTTGTTAAAGACGTGCAGGTATTCTCTGAATGCTTTAGTCCATCAAGCCCCAGACAACTCATTAGCATTATAATGCTCAATCCTCTGTGTAGCTGTAACAGGCTATTGGATTACAGCTGCAAACCATCAGTCACACAAATCATCTGGTGTCACTCTGGCGTCAAACCATATTTAATCATACACAACTGATGAGCATATTTAATTGCTAAGTTAGTAGTTTGTACACAGTTTGAATTGATATAGACTGACGTGTATAAAGAGAAAATCATAATCACTGCTGCGCCAGATGACCAACGGAGGCATTGCAGCTTGTTTTTACAAAGGCTGCTTAAGGACCATTGTAAATGCAATCACTGTAGATCCCACTAACCACAAGGATCAAGCAAGGTCAAGTCACGGACCTTCCAAACTCTTTGTTTGTCATCGTACATCTTCACACACATATCAACACAATAAAATGTGTCCTCTGTGTTTAAACACTCATTTAAACAATCAAGGAGGTGGACAGTAATTGCTAAGGAGTGTTTGCGGTGACAAGGGAACAGAGACTTGCTCGACACACCACAGCCAGCCTAGTTGGGAGTTGAAGCAGGGTTCTCTGATAACGGGCCCAATCCTCTTACTCCGGGGACACAGACTGCCACTTGTGGAAGTGCCAGACGACCAGGCCAAATGCCTATTTGTCTGCAGGCATCGTGCCAGTCTTCATGCACTCTCCATCCCGGGTTGTAAACAATAACAAAGGTCTCTGCTTGGAAGTAAAGTCATCACCGCCATCAATGCTGCTTCCTTACCTTTCCTAGTTGACAGGGGTTACAACAAAATAGGAGCTAAACTTTTCTTCTCTATAACCCTTATTTTTCAACAAAAATGTTTGTACAAACAGCCATCCAAACCAGTGTGTGGATCAAATAAAAAGTCAATCTGAGGTATTTAGAGGTTTCTGCCAGTAAGGAGTTGGGTAATTGATTTTTGCGGACAATTATTATAGTTCAGTAACATTGTTGGTCAGAGTACTAGGATTACAAAGTACTTTGAAGAAGCTTGTGTCTGTATTTGTCTGTTGTTTTCTTGACTCTTCAGACTTTCTATTCACAGATGTCATTTAAAGATGTTGCCCTAATCACTCCTGCAATTTTTGATTCCTCACATGTTTTGTGTTAAGGAGACAGCTGTCCAACATGTAATATCGTCAGAAACCTGGTATCAGAGGAAAGCCTCTGATACCAGGTTTCTGTAACCAGCAGTAATGCTCTTAAAAGTTTGTCGTTGAGCAGATGGACTACCTTTTTTTTATTTTAAATTTCTCTGACCTTGTCTAGGACAAAGAGCACTCCCCTGTCCCTCCCTTATCATTACTGTCATCATCCGAATGAGAGTGGGCGTGTTTGCCTCCGGTAACGGCCTCAGCCTCTGTGGGAGGCGCTCCATATTTTACCTTGGTTTCGGTGTCCTTCAAATTAAACAGATTAATGAACCTTTAACAGTTTCACTAGAGAAATGGTCACAGAAATGGTACATACGCTTCCCGGCACTCACTTACTGAACCTGTAATTAACGAAATGATGTTTGATGGTAATGCATACGAATTTATAGGTCATCAGTGACTATGAATATGTTACAGACGACACGCTGCAATACCACCTTAATTCTTTGCTTACTATTTCAATGCACTTGTTGGATGGTTTATGAATGTATAGTTTAAACTCAGTGCTAACAATATTATTCAAATTTGTCCATCCATCCATCCGCTAAATCTGGATCAGTAATGTGGGCTGCATAGGTACCCATTATCCAGGCATTAAGCAAGAGTGCTTAGTAAGATTAAAGCGTCTTAGTAGTGGCTCCTTGGGGTATTAGGAAACAGAGTGAAGATCATATTCTGCTTTTTCTTTCACTCGATCTATCAGAGTCTATTACATTGAGAGCAGATAATCAATCCAAGTTCATACAAAACTTAGTGTGAAATTTTCACACTATCCTCCTTCATGTCTGGTTATATTTAACCTAAACGACAGTATCTGATCATTAGGCAAATCAATAGTACAGTAAACAAGGTTCCATAAGTAGACAGATAAATGTGACTTTCATTTTCCATTCCAGGACTAATCTCATTAGAAAACTTCTCATTAGCGTAGTATTAGAAAAAGTCTCATTTGTTTTGTTCATTAACTCATGAACACTGACAGACAACAGACGTGTTTCTCCATATGATTACAGACACAGAAACATTTAAAGAAGAGTGCAGGTTGTTTCACCCTGTTGTAGTCAAACCTACAGAGTATATTCAGTTTATCAATAATTTTAAAAAAAGTGTGTATTTTAGGTGTATCGTGACATGGGACATGAGTTGGCCTCTTACCAGTGACATATTCTTTGAGAGACAAAAGGATTAACAGTTTCCATGACAACAGCATCTTCATTGTCCAAGGTCAAGGATGCTTTCTCTCTCAGTCCAGTTGCAAAGCGTTCAAATATTTCCTGATTCCTGTTCAGTTTGTCTCTAGGAGAGAAAACAGAAATGAGCACTGTGGAGAAAAGAAAAAAAACAACAAACAAACACCAAAACAAAGTGAATGTGCCATTGGTATTAAACTGAGTGAACAGCCAGCTAGCAGCCAATACTGAGAGCAGATCTTTAAGATCAGCTACAGACGAGCAGACATTCTGTCAACAGTAAGTTTTCTAAAAACTGTTGGTTGAAAATATTTACTCCGAAGAACTTTTAAATGTGGAAAGTGTAGCGTGTACACAGCATCACAGGGGACTCCCAGGAATGTTGACCATTTAACTGAACCTTAAAACTGAAACCTCCCATGGCATTTACACAGTATTTTTCCAGAACATTCTGGCATTTATTGAGACAACACTGACTCACAACTACATCCACAGCACAAAACTCTTAAAACTGTATATTTTGGGGACTGTGATTAAATTAAAATGTATAAGTAATGATTGCCCACAGTTGACTTGAGATTGATTGAAAAAAAAAAATACAAAATAAGTTTGTTTTTATTTATTCAGGCGGAACACCCTTTTTTCGCACCATTCTTCATCTTCATTGAGCCAAAGGTAAAACTGTATTGATCCAGATGCTGAAAATAAATAAATTTGCTATATAAATGACACAGCAAATAGTATTTCCAGTTGAAGGCCAATGCTTAATCTGAGAATCAAATATGGATTTTCATTTTATTCCAGACATTTCAAAATCAATACGCATAAAAACCTGTTACTGTGTGTTTTTGAAATTTCAAACATGTTTGCCAAAGAATTAACAAAATGAGGAAACGTGTAATAGTATAATGTTAATTTGTTAAAGTATAGTTTAATAATAATATAATAATTCCTGAACTTGTGGATGAAGCGGACATGATAATAATGTCTTGACAACTTTAACATAATGACCGGGGATCTCTTAAGGAGAGGCGGACTCTTCTCACCAGAGAATAATTAGTTGGCCTAACAGCTCTAACAGATATACTCTGTATTCTAAGCTTTGCTGTGATGCATTTGTGAACATGAATTGAAGACAGATCATTTAGCGATATAAAAACGCTCCATGAGGAATTGCAAACGTTGGGATTTGGTGGAACGCGGAGGTATGGGAATCATTACCATCCACGGCAGGAGACCTGCATTGTCTAACAAGGCCCTGCAGCTAATGACTCATTAGTGCACACGCTCGCAATGATCAATGACCAATGATCAATATTAATTTATGTCCACTGCAGTCAGCCATCCACTTTCACCTTGATCAACTTTATTTTCACTCTGCTTGCAAAACACATGTTCTTTCTTCATTTAACATTCAAAGTCAGATGTGGACGCATTTAGCCAGAGACTACAGTTGGTATTTAGAATGGGATTTCACAGAGGTCACACAACACTGAAGGGCCTGCATATTCAAAAATTCATACAGTCTGTGCTCATTAAAAAATTGGGGGAAACTGAGTCAATTTGAAATTGACAAGTAAAGAGAAACTTGTACAACAGAACAGACCATAAATACACTCAGCATAGCCAGGTCTGATACACTGACACTGTTAGCTTTTAGTAATCAGTGGTTTATTAGCCACAGGAAATGTTCCAACCAACTTTGTAGTTCAATAGCATCGCTGTCGGGGGTGTAATTGTTTGTCCTGATCCTTTGTAAGACAGCGCAACTTCATTACTTACTTTAACTTCTCAATCTTTTGAAAGATGTTCTCTCAATAATAAACTGTATATTTCACATAAATAGGCCTTTATTGTCTGTACATAAGTTCTTTGTCATTTGGCTAAAACAGGAAGGTATAGATTTGGTGAATCATTATTAAATGTATTTCTTTGGGAGAAATGAGTACAGCATATGATTGTAGAAACTGCACGTCTTGAAAAAACAAATTCCTTGTTTTGTTTGTGGCCTTTTAAAATGTGGAAGTGACATTAAACAGCGTGAGGCACAGAAGAACATGAATGTAATGCCTCTAAACCATGGCCAGCCTTTATTTATGCATCAATTACAGTGTAAATGTATTAGATAATTTAATATGTGCAGGATTTCTGGATACTTTTCTATCCCTACGAAAGGTTCTCTCATGTAAATCGTCAGAAAAGCCAGTGGATCTCAGCTTACAGTCCATCTTTAAACCACGAGGAAGTGTGGACTCTGCAGCTGCAGGTCAGCTTACAGATCACCAATAATTATGCAAGGGTATATTACACACATAATGAAAACTAACACACTGGTACATCATCAATATCATACTCTAGGAGGCCTCACAACTGATATCATTCGTGAAGTCTACCTTTAAGTCCTGGTGGGCACATCAAATGAGAACAGGTTCTTGGTTGGACTAAATATGACATATATAATCAGCTGAGAAATGTGTCAGGAAACTTAAACCCATGGTAAAACCTTGTATCCCGTGTTGTGTTCATAGACTTCTTAGTCCTCTTAACTAAGAGAGTCATTTTGACACTGTTTTTAAAGCATTTTTAAAACATGTTTTTATTCTCATGTTTTTCCTCATAGGCAGGGGTAATTTGGATTAAGAAATTGTTGACTATATAACTCCAACACATGGATAAAGTCCAAGTTTATATCTGTCTCATATCAGCCCCTGACGGCACAGATTCGTTTTTGTTTTTTTCACTTGAAAGTAAATGAGACTTAAAGACGTTTAGTCCAAAGTGAAGGAAGGACTTAAGTAATCAATAACACTTTGATATAAATAAATTAGAGCTGATAAAGTCGACTTTAAAGCTGCCCCATGCTGTTAATTTAAAAGGAATCAATCATGTTAATTCCCTCTTCATCTAGTTGGACTCCCATGCTGCATTTCAGGGCACTGTGCCTTTGCGTGTGAGACTTTAGAGAGATGAAAAAGAAAGGGAAAGGCTAAACTATGCAACTTTCTGAATAACAAGAACAAAAAAGTAGGCTAAAAAACCAAGATGATTTTTTCTACCTGTCACAGAAGCACACAGTCCCCAGCTTAGCTCATGAAATATACCACTGACACTTAGCATTCCACACCAGACATCTGGGTTGTTCGGTCTGTCTACCTAGAACACAATAGAGAACTTTGAAAATATTCTATATATGCTTCTCACACACTTCAGAAACACTCCTCCTGCCTCAGATGGTGCTGCACAATGTACCATCTATTTGGTTGGCATTATGGAGCTCTTCTTAAAGTTAAGTCTATGCCATTAAATATATTCACCATGATCAACCAATAAAACTTAAAAAAAAGTGTTGTGGAAACTTCTTCTTTAACGCCACTAAAAATCCTCACTAATGAAAAAAAATTGTATGATTCTATTTTTTTTCATTTAACAAAATGTCACTTCTCTTGAAAGGGAAAAACAATAAGCCCTTGTAAACCTGTATATACCTCATATGCTGTACATAGCAATATTTAGCATATTTGAAATCTATTTTACGCTACATGGGAAATGATGATTCATACTATACTGTGTTTTCCTACTATGTCAATCTCCTGCTAATTATATATGTGAAAAATAATTTCTTATCCAACTGTGGGTGTTGATTAGACACTGTTAAAATTGACACAAATTGATTTCACAACATTAAAGGCCAAGTCAAAGTAATTTCACTGTGTATTTACACAGTTCTAATGACAACTTTTCTTTAGTTTAATATTTTCTAAATTTGTATTCATACTGAGGCAGTATGTATGTGTAATAATCTACATCTGGCTAGTCCGTCTGTTCCACATGATAAAAATTATTTATAAAAAAATTAAGAAAAAAAACAAACATCTTTTACAAACAGTGATTTCCTAACCATGATATCAGAGATCATGAAATTATCCTATTTTAATTAAATGGTCCAAAAACTGCTCTGTAATTACTGCAAATAGTTGTGAGAGTTAGGACAACTTTATACTTTCCCAATCGAGAAAAAAACGAGAGACCCACAGAGCAGTTGAATGAGACATACGTGTCTTCCCTCAATTCCTTGGAGTATGTCAGCATCATGTTTAACTAAACAGGTCAATGTTTCACACTAAATAACTAAGCAAATTAATATTAGAAGATCAATATATTACAGAAGAATCACATATGACCTCTCAGGTGCCAGTCCGAGTTTTAACCACATAGTTAATGGCGCCTCCTGTGGCAGTCTGTGTGGGTTACAAAGAATGACACTGAATTTCCCCATTATGGAACAAATAAGGAACTTCAGTAATTATTAGAGACTTTTACATTCTGAAGTACTACAACCTTACCTTATACATGATAGTAGCCCAAATGTATGGTTTGTTTTGTTAATGAATGGCATATTTTAATTCTTCAATTCTACTGTTGTTTTCATGATCTTCCTGATATTAAGCCAACAGCTGCACATGCTGCTTTTTTCCCCGGCAACAGGTCCTGTCCCCCCTGTCTAATTTGAAGTGCTGAATGCCACAGCGCACACCACTTCCTGACTGTGGATGCATTAAGTCTCTGCATGGATAACAGTATAATGGGCATTCTTCTGTTGGCAATAATGATGTGTGGTTTTTTTTATTGTTATAACAGAGCTGATATCACTGTAATGACTATAATAAAGTATAAAAAATGTTGACATTTGGCCTATAAAATTTATCATAAAATAATACCATGTTTTTTTTTTTACATAGACCAGTTCTGGCCCAGAGGTCACACCAGCATTAATGGTGAGGGTCTAACGTCTTAAGTTAATCAGGTTTAAGCTGTGGTTGCCACTGATGAGCTGAATAAAATTCTCCATGAGAGTTTTCTTTTTTATTACATATAGCCCTTATACATATGCAAAATACTCATCCTCCATATGTTTTGATATTTATAACCTTTTCAAGAAATTGCCCTCACTGAGCTGTAGGCATCTGCAAAGTTTAATTGCCTTAAAAATCCATACTTTTCCTTGTACCCGTTTGAAATAGACCACTCAAAATCTTACTTTAAATGATGTACATCAGAACAGTGTTTTATTTCTAGATCGTTCCTTTGGTTCAGCTGGTGATTCAT